AAAATTGGAAAAAATTTCAATTTTCTAAAATTGGAAATTGAGTATGCAGATTTATAAACCTTATAAAAACTTACATAGAAACGGTTTCCGAAGTGAAATTAACGCATTTTTGGCTTAGTTATGAACTTTTTAAGCTTCGATTTAGCGCCAAAAATGGTCGAATGAAAATGTACCTAAATATTGCCTCAAGGAAGGCAGAAATTTTTAGCTTTGCACTTTTTTAGAATTGTAAATTCAGTATGCAGATTTATAAACCTAATAACAACGTAAATAGAACCGTTTTCCGAATTGCAATTAATGCATTTTTGGCTTAGATATAAAAATTTTAAACTATGATTTTCCGAAAAAATTGTCAAATAAATATGTGGCTAAAGGGTATTATACCTTCAGTCAGATGATTGAAACTATGTGAAGGACTCATTTCCGACCCTATAAATCATATATTTTCTTGATCGGCATCAACAGGGGAATCATTCTAACCATGTCCGGTCAAAAATAAATTATCGAGATTTTTTCCAAAATTTGAAAAAATGATAAGGGGTTACATCATTAAAATTGTCAAAAATTTGAAAAAATTTCAATTTTCTAAAATTGGAAATTGAGTATGCAGATTTATAAACCTTATAAAAACTAACATAGAAACGGTTTCCGAAGTGAAATTAACGCATTTTTGGCTTAGTTATGAACTTTTTAAGCTTCCATTTTGCGCCAAAAATGGTCGAATGAAAATGTACCTAAATATTGCCTCAAGGAAGGCAGAAATTTTTATCTTTGCACTTTTTTAGAATTGTAAATTCAGTATGCAGATTTATAAACCTAATAACAACGTAAATAGAACCGTTTTCCGAATTGAAATTAATGCATTTTTGGCTTAGATATAAAAATTTTAAACTATGAGTTCTAGAAAAAATTGTCAAATAAAAAGGTGGCTAAATATTGACTCAAGGAAGGCAGAAATTTTTAGCTTTGCACGTTTTTAGAATTGTAAATTGAGTATGCAGATTAATAAACCAAATAACAACGTAAATAGAACCGTTTGCCGAATTAAAATTAATGCATTTTTAGCTTAGTTATGAAATTTTTAAACTTTGATTTTCCGAAAAAATTGTCAAATAAAAATGTGGCTAAAGGAAATTATACCTTTAGTCAGATGATTGAAACTATGTGAAGGACTCATTTCCGACCCTATAAATCATATATTTTCTTGATCGGCATCAACAGGGGAATCATTCTAGCCATGTCCGGTCAAAAAATAAATTATCGAGATTTTTTCCAAAATTTGAAAAAATGATAAGGGGTTACATCATTAAAATTGTCAAAAATTGGCAAAAATTTCAATTTTCTAAAATTGGAAATTGAGTATGCAGATTTATAAAGCTTATAAAAACTTACATAGAAACGGTTTCCGAAGTGAAATTAACGCATTTTTGGCTTAGTTATGAACTTTTTAAGCTTCGATTTTGCGCCAAAAATGGTCGAATGAAAATGTACTTAAATATTGCCTCAAGGAAGGCAGAAATTTTTAGCTTTGCACTTTTTTAGAATTGTAAATTCAGTATGCAGATTTATAAACCTAATAACAACGTAAATAGAACCGTTTTCCGAATTGCAATTAATGCATTTTTGGCTAAGTTATGAACTTTTTAAACTATGATTTTCCGAAAAAATTGTCAAATAAATATGTGGCTAAAGGGTATTATACCTTCAGTCAGATGATTGAAACTATGTGAAGGACTCATTTCCGACCCTATAAATCATATATTTTCTTGATCGGCATCAACAGGGGAATCATTCTAACCATGTCCGGTCAAAAAATAAATTATCGAGATTTTTTCCAAAATTTGAAAAAATGATAAGGGGTTACATCATTAAAATTGTCAAAAATTTGAAAAAATTTCAATTTTCTAAAATTGGAAATTGAGTATGCAGATTTATAAACCTTATAAAAACTAACATAGAAACGGTTTCCGAAGTGAAATTAACGCATTTTTGGCTTAGTTATGAACTTTTTAAGCTTCCATTTTGCGCCAAAAATGGTCGAATGAAAATGTACCTAAATATTGCCTCAAGGAAGGCAGAAATTTTTATCTTTGCACTTTTTTAGAATTGTAAATTCAGTATGCAGATTTATAAACCTAATAACAACGTAAATAGAACCGTTTTCCGAATTGAAATTAATGCATTTTTGGCTTAGATATAAAAATTTTAAACTATGAGTTCTAGAAAAAATTGTCAAATAAAAAGGTGGCTAAATATTGACTCAAGGAAGGCAGAAATTTTTAGCTTTGCACGTTTTTAGAATTGTAAATTGAGTATGCAGATTAATAAACCAAATAACAACGTAAATAGAACCGTTTGCCGAATTAAAATTAATGCATTTTTAGCTTAGTTATGAAATTTTTAAACTTTGATTTTCCGAAAAAATTGTCAAATAAAAATGTGGCTAAAGGAAATTATACCTTTAGTCAGATGATTGAAACTATGTGAAGGACTCATTTCCGACCCTATAAATCATATATTTTCTTGATCGGCATCAACAGGGGAATCATTCTAGCCATGTCCGGTCAAAAAATAAATTATCGAGATTTTTTCCAAAATTTGAAAAAATGATAAGGGGTTACATCATTAAAATTGTCAAAAATTGGAAAAAATTTCAATTTTCTAAAATTGGAAATTGAGTATGCAGATTTATAAAGCTTATAAAAACTTACATAGAAACGGTTTCCGAAGTGAAATTAACGCATTTTTGGCTTAGTTATGAACTTTTTAAGCTTCGATTTTGCGCCAAAAATGGTCGAATGAAAATGTACCTAAATATTGACTCAAGGAAGGCAGAAATTTTTAGCTTTGCACTTTTTTAGAATTGTAAATTCAGTATGCAGATTTATAAACCTAATAACAACGTAAATAGAACCGTTTTCCGAATTGCAATTAATGCATTTTTGGCTAAGTTATGAACTTTTTAAACTATGATTTTCCGAAAAAATTGTCAAATAAATATGTGGCTAAAGGGTATTATACCTTCAGTCAGATGATTGAAACTATGTGAAGGACTCATTTCCGACCCTATAAATCATATATTTTCTTGATCGGCATCAACAGGGGAATCATTCTAGCCATGTCCGGTCAAAAAATAAATTATCGAGATTTTTTCCAAAATTTGAAAAAATGATGAGGGGTTACATCATTAAAATTGTCAAAAATTTGAAAAAATTTCAATTTTCTAAAATTGGAAATTGAGTATGCAGATTTATAAACCTTATAAAAACTAACATAGAAACGGTTTCCGAAGTGAAATTAACGCATTTTTGGCTTAGTTATGAACTTTTTAAGCTTCCATTTTGCGCCAAAAATGGTCGAATGAAAATGTACCTAAATATTGACTCAAGGAAGGCAGAAATTTCTAGCTTTGCACTTTTTTAGAATTGTAAATTCAGTATGCAGATTTATAAACCTAATAACAACGTAAATAGAACCGTTTTCCGAATTGAAATTAATGCATTTTTGGCTTAGATATAAAAATTTTAAACTATGAGTTCTAGAAAAAATTGTCAAATAAAAAGGTGGCTAAATATTGACTCAAGGAAGGCAGAAATTTTTAGCTTTGCACGTTTTTAGAATTGTAAATTGAGTATGCAGATTAATAAACCAAATAACAACGTAAATAGAACCGTTTGCCGAATTAAAATTAATGCATTTTTAGCTTAGTTATGAAATTTTTAAACTTTGATTTTCCGAAAAAATTGTCAAATAAAATGTGGCTAAAGGAAATTATACCTTTAGTCAGATGATTGAAACTATGTGAAGGACTCATTTCCGACCCTATAAATCATATATTTTCTTGATCGGCATCAACAGGGGAATCATTCTAGCCATGTCCGGTCAAAAAATAAATTATCGAGATTTTTTCCAAAATTTGAAAAAATGATAAGGGGTTACATCATTAAAATTGTCAAAAATTGGCAAAAATTTCAATTTTCTAAAATTGGAAATTGAGTATGCAGATTTATAAAGCTTATAAAAACTTACATAGAAACGGTTTCCGAAGTGAAATTAACGCATTTTTGGCTTAGTTATGAACTTTTTAATCTTCGATTTTGCGCCAAAAATGGTCGAATGAAAATGTACCTAAATATTGCCTCAAGGAAGGCAGAAATTTTTAGCTTTGCACTTTTTTAGAATTGTAAATTCAGTATGCAGATTTATAAACCTAATAACAACGTAAATAGAACCGTTTTCCGAATTGAAATTAATGCATTTTTGGCTTAGATATAAAAATTTTAAACTATGAGTTCTAGAAAAAATTGTCAAATAAAAAGGTGGCTAAATATTGACTCAAAGAAGGCAGAAATTTTTAGCTTTGCACGTTTTTAGAATTGTAAATTGAGTATGCAGATTAATAAACCAAATAACAACGTAAATAGAACCGTTTTCCGAATTGCAATTAATGCATTTTTGGCTAAGTTATGAACTTTTTAAACTATGATTTTATGTTTTTATAATAAAAAATAGGATAGGAATGGTTTCCAAATTAAAATTAGTTCATTTTTGGCTTAGCTATGATCTGTCGAAATGGCAAGGGTATTTAACTTTCTGACTTCATTTCGGAATTTTTTTGTTTAATTTATTAGTCAGTTGCTTAATAAAAAGTTTTTAAATAATATCGTTTCGAGAATAAATAAAGTAAAAGATATAACTTCTTTTAAAAACACTCTTTGCCATAAAAATAATCACAATAAAAAAATTGGCATCAAGTTCAAGTTCATCCCTGTTTTTTTTTTAATTGTTAAATTTTTGGCGCCAAATCGCTTTTTTTGTAGTGCTGGAAAAAAGCTCTAAATGAGCCGCAGCCAACATAACGTTTGAGTGTTGGACAAGTTGTATATATTTCTTTGTGTAACCATGACAACGATCGCGAAACGAAAACAAATTGAACAATTACGGAACAACAAGACGACGACACTTAATTAGCTGTTACGGCACACCAGCAGATAACCTACCATCCTATCAGCTGCTAGACACGAAAGATACTCCTTTATCTTCGTAAATATATATTCCTGAGAACAGCTGATCCGCTGCTGCCTTGGTGGTGACCCGGCGGCGGTGTCTTTCGGTGAACTTCCGGGGAATTGGGTGTCGAAAAGTGTAACACAACCACCAGGCACAACAGCCCAGGTTCAACGCTGTCCAACAACTAAAAACAAAATCCAACAAATTCCAGCAACAACCACAGGCCTTGTCGCTGCGCAACCGCTGGCCAGGAGAAAGAAGAAGATGCGGCTTCTATTTACGGGCTTCAACGCTTTTGGCCAACATGAATTTGTTAACGGCAATGCCGACGACTGCAGTGCCGGCTTTAGGGGTATGTAACGGTGTAACGAGCGGAGAGGCAGCCACAAAAGCCGTCGATCGTGCACTTAATTTGTACAGTAGACATTTGATAAGTTGGACACAAAGACCTTTCATTAGATCCGCTGCAAGTTTTAAGTTTTTAAAATAGTGTATAATATAAAAACTTCTTAAATGTTAACAATATTATATTGTAAAATAAGTATATAGATTTTTCTAGCCAATTAAATTTCACATATTTTAAAAATGAATTCCTACTAAATTATAGAATGTTTAAAATATAATTTAAAGCTATTTAAAAATGTTGAAGATAGGCTTTCAAGTTAAATTCCCTTGCCACCTTAATTAACATATTCCCTTTTATCGAAGTTCCACTGCCTGCTTACTAATCAGTCCTGATTTCATTCCAGAAATAAATGCACCTTTATCGGATAAAAACCAGTGCACGATTTCGATTGCCTGGCGGTATTCGGCCCTCGCTCTTGGCCGGAAGTTGTATCTGCGTGGCCTGTTGGCCCAAAGTCCCGAAGAGTGCGTGACCCTCGAGGCGGCGGGTGACATAAAGGCCCTGGCCGCCGGTGATACCCATTGCCTGGTGCTACTACACAACGGTCAACTGTACAGAGTAAAGCCTAACTTGAAGGCGGAACTAGTGCCAGTCAGACTGGAGGCTCCACCCCGTTCCAGCTCCAATTTGGGCACAAAGCGATCTATCTTTGGGATACCCAAGGCACCCGAGCTACCGGCATCGCCAATCGTTGAGCACATTGCCTGCGGATCGCATATAAACGTGGCGGTTAGCTCGGAAAATGCCGTCTACAGTATTCCCAGTTGCCTGCATCAATTTCCCGGACGACAGTTTCGAGTGGAGCAACTGGAATGTGGCCACGAGCATGCCGTGCTCCTCAATGGCAACGGTGACGTGTTCACCTGGGGAAATGGTCTGTGAGTATCTAAGGAATCCATCCGTGAATCTACCCGACTGTTGCTCAAAATACTTTTGCCGAGGGTTTGCTAATTTTGCCGGAAGTTTGCCAAAGAACAGTGGGAAACAAACACCTGGAAAGAGAGGGTACCTTTTATTTATTTATAAAAATATTCTTAATCATGAGTCACTTCAGTCGAATAATTACCTTTGCAAGAGTATTTAGAACTTTTTTAATGATTTATCATATTCTTTTTCATATTCATGATAATTAACAGCCGCGGACAGTTGGGTCAGGCTGTATTGAAAGTGGAGGAGGCGCCACTCTTGGTGGAGGCACTGGCGGGGATCAAGGTAAATATTTGCTCAGCTTACACTTATCTTCTGGCTGTCATAATCAGAAGGGAACGTGTCTTTCAGATAACTCGTATTGCTGCCGGTGGTTGGCATAGTGCGGCCATATCCGCCTTTGGAGATCTCTACACCTGGGGCCTAAACTGCAGCGGTCAGCTGGGAGTGCGTGTGATGAAACCGGGTGGTTTGCTGAAAGAACCCACTGTCTATCCACTGCCCCAGTTGCATGATCTGCCCGAATGTAGTTGCTCCATGAAGTCTGCTGAGACCGACGATGACTGTGCTCCGCTGGGGGTGTTTGCCGGTTCTCGTCACACTCTGGTGATCCGCCGGTGCGGGGGGCTATGGGCCACTGGCTGGTGCAGGTACAACCAGTTGGGCAAGCAGCTCCACCTGGAACAGCAGCAGCACAAGAACCTGTCTTATTTGGATGTATTCCAGCCGCTGGATGGGATCACTTTGGACGCTAGTTCGGATCAAGTGCTATGTGGTCCTTGGTCAACTGTGATATTTTCTAAAGAAATTAGCTAGTTGATAGGTGCTTTTAAATAAATCTAAACTGTGATATATACTATATATCTATATATGATTTTGTACATTAAAAAACACAAGTAATTTTAATCAAACGTTCCGGGGACAAAACAGCTAAATTTAGTGGCTATTATATTGGGTATAAAATTAAGTATTATAGTATTAATAATATATTGTTTATTCGTTTTAAATATAAGTACTTAAGGTTTTTTTTCTATATGATATATTAAATATAACATACTATTAAACTTCATTTATATTATAGTGCAAGTAATGGAGATTATATATAAATTAATAAATAAATAATATTAATAATACATTGAACGCCTTTTATTTGGTAAAGAGGGAGAGAAGTTGAGGAGAGGGCCTAAAAAAAATATATAAAAAGGTTATACATAAAATTTCATATAAATTATTTAAATTAACATATTTTAAATTTGAGAAACTTTAAAGCTTTATAAAAAACACAGCAGAGACACACACCAATTTATTTGCTATACACTTTATAGCAAGCAGTAAAATGCATTGTAAAATAAACCAAGTAAATTTTTTTAAAGGGAAAATAAACTTTACATTACTTTTACAAACATTTTATAATACATTACTTATTTACTTGAAAATGTTATTTATTTTTATATTCTTGGATGTGTTTATTAATGTAGATATTAGTGTATAAAAACGCGTTTTTATATAGATTTATTATTCTTTATCAACGGAATGAATATTTTGGTTTTTTCAAATACTGAAACCCAAAATTCAAATGAAAATAAGCAGGCTTATGAATAATTGTCATCCGCATTCCTTTTATTTTGACATTTTCCTTTATTTTAATTAAATTGCGAGAAAAATCAACGGGAATCAAAGTCGGGAGGTTAAAATCAAACAAGGATTGCATGGAGTAAGATGAATGAGGATCTCCTGGCCTGTGGTCACTACGTCATCACTTCCTAATCGCTTCCGCAGACCCAGTCTCTTCTTTGTGCTGTTCTGGCGTGTGGCCATGGATGTCCTGTATCCTTTTAGCTACATGGACAGGTTCCTGGAGGACGCTCTGGCTAACGAGAGCCTAGTGTGGACGCCGAGCACTCGCATCCCGCGGCTCCTGCTGACGGCGACGCGGAGTGCCTTTCGAACCATTCTCATGATGGTCATGTTGATGGAGTTATTCCAGGGCCTGGACGAGGCCTTGGCTATGCAGGCTGCGGCCAATAGAAGAAGACAACTCTAGAGGGAATTTGCAGCCTGCTCCAAGGGATTTGTTCTTAACTTAACCGCAACTCAAAGAATTTTGTCTTGGGGTAGGACCTCCATTGTGTCATTATTCACCGAGTCAAGTGTCGTCGCCGTCGCTGTCATCGTTCGTCGTTGTCGTCGCTGCTGCCCATTTAATCAGTGAATTTTATTTTTAAAAATGTTATTAAACAATATTTGCCTTAGCAAAAGTCAGACGCTCGCCCAGGGCAATAAACTTTTCAGCACTTGAGCCGCTCGATGACGAACTGCTCAACCGACTGATTGACTGACTGACTGACTGATTGACTGACCGACTGATTGACAGAGCTTATTTTCTTTGTTTTTAGCTTTAAGTTGACGGAGAGAACTTGTGATTATTTCGATTTCGTGGAAGTGCGAACCAAGCAAAGGTTTCGATAGGCATTTTCATGCGTATTTATTGGAATGTGGGTTATATTGATTATAGTTTCAATTGGGAAATGGTTTTTAGTACTGGAATTTTTCTTGAAATATTTTTAGTTTCAGGTTTCTTTAATGAGCATATTAAAATATCTGTAAAGATGATATTATATTGTGATTTATATTGTGTTTGAATAAAGGATTTTAGGGGGAAGCAACCTAAACTTGTCTTAAGAAATTCACTCATTTATTATTAGTAAAAAGAAATGTAAAAGTTTAAACTAAGTTCATAAAGCTCAAGTACACTGACTTATTAATCAAGTAAAATAATTACACAAAATTCCCTTGACTTGTAGAGCCTCCAATCGTCGCCATTCTTGCCTTCAGGATTCTATAGCCGAGTGAGTTCAACGCTTTTATGCTATTTGCCAAATGAAAAAGTAAAAAACAAATGTTTATCTTATAATGCACTGGATGGCAGTTCAGCACAGACATGGTGCGTAAATAGGCTTTGCTTTTGGGGTTTACTTTTTCATTTTATGACCGTTTTTTGTACTTAATTTTTATTTTTTGTTAGCAAACTTTGTTATCATCGAAAAACCCCGAGGAGAAGAGCATTGAAAGAGGAAGGCTTGTCACTTTTAGGTCGCAAAACTATTTGCGGCTAGAAATCGCCACCGACGGTGCCTAACAGACAGAGAGGGATATATATATAGAAAGAGAAGAGAGAGAGAGAAAAAAGGGGGAAGAGTTTAGAGAGAAAGAGATAGATCGTTGGAGGAGTTCAAGCGCCTCGCTCAAGGCAATCGCATTCTGCAGCTTATCAGGGCGGCCAATGCAGCAGCAAGCTGGGAGAAACCTCTTGAAGAATCACACAGAGAATATATTTGAGAGTGAGATTTTTAGTTTTTCTAAAGAAAATACGGACAAATCTTTATAATCCTGAAACCAACGATTTGTTCGTGGTACATCTTTTGTTTGTTAAATACTCAGGGTGTAACCTGTGTAATTAAGAAATAAAGCCAACTTCGGGAAGCCAAAGTTTATATATCTTTGCAGTTTGCATTTAAATTATGGGACTTAATAGGAAATCGATGATAACTTAGCTTAAAATTTACACATTCTTTAAATCAATAAATATTGTTAATTTTTTACCACAATTTTTTCCACAAATCCGAATTTAAAAATCTCATAACTAAGCCAAAAAAGCATTAATTTCAATTCAGAGCCCGTTCCAATGTTATTAGGTTAACAAATCTTTATACTCAATTTAGAATTTAACAAAAAATTCAACATTTTGCATTTGGTGACAATTTTAATAATGTAACCCCTTATAAAATTTTGAAATTTTGAAAAAATCCCAAAAAAATATTTTTTAGCCGGACATGGTTAGATCTACTCGGATTTCGATGCTGATCAATAATATATATGATTCATAGGGTCGGAAATGATTCCTTCACTTGTTATATGCTTCGGACTACCAATAAAATGGCTTTAAGTGGTTCTTAAACTTCTTACTTCCTGGTGATTTGCACACATTTTCTCAGACTTTTAAATTCTTTTTTATCCCATCGAATAAGAACTTTAAAATTTGTAGTTGTTTTTCTCTCTGCAACAAGTACGAAATGTGCTAATTGTGAAGCCCTCTTTTCGAGAGGGCTTTTCGTTACTCGAAAATTGTAATTCATGCGTGCCAGTAGACGCCAAAGTTTCAACAGAACTCAGTCAATCATAACCAAAAAAAAAGAAGGCCTAAGAACCAGAAGAAAACTCTTCTGCAACTTCAGGGCCAGGCCAGGGAGTTGTCTTAGTTTTTTTTTTGAATTGGGGAGGAGTTCGAGCTTGTTTGCCTTCTGTCCAAAAGGGGAGATCTGAGATCCCTCGCAAGTGCGTGCCATGCGGCATGCAACGATGAGCAGTGGCCACCAGTAGCCGATACGGATCCAGATTCAAGTCCAGAAGCCAAGACATCAACACACACGTCGCCACCAAAAAAAGTACAGAAAAGACTTGAAAGTTACGATTTTAGGGAACAGAAAATTTAATAGGAATTTAGAAATTTTTAAGGGTGTGAAAATTATATAGAAGTTATTAATTAGAAATGTTTGAAAAATGTATTAATACTTTCCTATATTTATTGGTACTAGTCTTAAATGATTTCCCCTTTATTTCCTATATAAAAATGTCTCACTTGTGGAACGATCACTGTACTTTAGGCTTCGTCAATTTTTTGTTATTTGTTTGCCAAGGCCTCACTGCACCTCCTGTTACCCTTTCCCGGACCTACCTTGGCGCTTAGCCTGGCCAACACGTGTTCGTGCCCAAAGAGAGTGTGTGCTAACAGCCTATTTGCTTTTGGGCGGACATTGAACCGCAAGAATACTCAGTACTCAGAATGCAGTATTCAGTACTCGCTACTAAGTACTCCGCATGTAGAGTCACCCTAAAACCCAACTAATCATCACTTTGTAGCCGCGTTAATAACTCCTCCTTGGATTCGTTGCCAACTCCCATTGGATTCGTCCATTTAAGTGAAAGAGGAAATATGCGAGTGGGAAAAGGGTGTGTGTGTGTGTGGAAAAATGAGGTGTGTGTGGGAAGAGGGAGTGTGTGCAAAGGAGCTTTGTGTGTGTGTGTTCCCAAAACGTTTTGGCATCCCAAAAGCATGTCGGCGGGACTCCTCCCCTATCACTCAAAGTGCCATAAAAATTATGCATGAATGTATTTGCTTCATTTCTGAAGCATTTTTTTTTGTGTCGTGATGCCACCCCCAAATATAAAAGTGCCAAACCCCAAAAATAAAAAAAAAGAGAAAAAAGAGGAGCAAAACCAAATAAAAGTACGAAAATGAAACGAATGCAGCAGCGTCGCATTTTTACGGCTCCATTCATGTGACGACGGAAGTGTCAAGTGGCTGTTGGCAACTCGTCGTCGACAAGGAAGTGCCCCTGTGCCCCCCAAAACGCCACCCACCATTTTCCTGGGCGTCCTTTTCGTCAACGTCGAAAATGCCGTTATTGTTGCCAGTTGTCTACATGCTCTATGCGCTGCTCCCATGTACATCACATCGCATCCCATCAGATTCCCCATCCTGACCTCCGACGCTACGCTATACGATGCACGGTGTCTACACTGGGAAAATTTACATGAATTTCAGAAGAAATATTTATAAAATGCGATAATATTTATGGCAAATGGTAACCCAAAATATGTACAAATATTTACCAACACCAGAAACTGAGTTTAATATATTTGTAGCTGCTTTAAAAATAACTGTTTGTAATCATTGAATAAAAATTGTTTAAAGCGAAAACCCATTGGGAATTTTAGTGAGCTTTGGAAATTATAAAATATATAATTTTCTGTTGTAAAATATTTCTTGAAATTCACAAACGTATAACCCAAATTTGAACATATTTCTTTAATCTTAACTCTCTTTAATTTCTGATATATTATATTCTTTCCATATTTCGATTTAGGCTTACATTTCCTTTATTTTTTCTAAATTTTCCTCCAAGTGTAAGTTTGCCCAAGTTACATTCTCTCTCTCTCTCTCTCTCTCTTTCACACCCTCTATCCCCCATCTCTGTCACCGTCTGCCTTTGAGTGTGCAAACTTTTTAGCGTTTGCATGTGTGTATTTGTGTGCTCCGTTTTTCACCATTTTTTTTCTCACATTTTCTACTCGTACTTCCCATTTTTTTCGTGTGTACTTTGCTTCATTTTTCTATGCCCTTCATTTAGCCGTCTTTGTTCTTTTTGGGGTACAGTTGTGCTTGTAGGGTTAAGTAGCCTATGTCTCGAACGAGAAAGTTGCAGCAGCAGAAGAACAAGAATAAGAATGCTGAATAAATAAGGCTTACATTTTCGAAAATAAGGCTTTAGGATTGTTTTTACAATTTGTTTATCTAGGATTTGGGAAGTGAAGAATGAGAGTCCTATAGATAAGGACTCTCTTAAGGCTATTATAAGACTAATTTTGTATAAACATAGCTAACAAGAAAACTAAAGAGCCTTTTTCTTATGTTTGAATCTATCTTTTATTAGGATACAAAAATACTTCAATTTTTAAGTTATTAAGCTTCAAAATATTTTTAATAAACTAAAAACTTTATCAACAAATACCAGTTTAATATTGATAATTAACATACTTAAAAATAAAAATGAGTTAGAAAACTCCTGAAAGTTATCAGCAGCAAAGTCCTATCATCATTTTATTAGGTATTAATTTTTCTTAATAATATTACGATTCCACAAGTTATCAAGTTATGCGAAAAACACAGTCAGCTTTTGCTGAAAAACTTTCCAGGGAGTCACCGCAATTAATGGCATTTAACTATCAACCCTAGAATTAAACTTTATGTCAGACTCCATGTTTTGGCACCCACTCTGCGCCATTGCTGCTGCTTAAAATTCCATGACAGCTGTCTAATTTGTCGCTGCAATTTGCGTTGACAAGTTGATTGTGGCGGGGTGCCACACTCCCCTTCTTGGCCAAACTCTAATTGCAGTTAGCCACTTACATAACCAGCAATGATAGACCCCGATTACATGATTTCTTCGGGACACCCCCCAGAGAGTCTGGAGGAGTAGTCCATGGGACCCTGGGCCAGGCTTTCCCTTTCGCTGGGCCGTCTTTCTGGCCTAGACTCATCCTCATCTCCATTTTGCCGGTCTGCCGTTCTAATGAAATTCTGTTGCCACTTTTGCGACCTTCGCCTGGGGTCTGCCTCCATTCACATCCTC